AGTCAAGGTGCCATTGTCTAGTCTGTAGATGTCTGTGTGTCCTTCCATGGATATGCCTCCCCAGACCATCACTGACCCACCACCAAAACGGTCAAGCTGAATGATGTTACATAACGTTCTCCATGGCTTCTCCAGACCCTTTCACGTCTGTCCTATGTGCTCAGGGTGAACCTGCTCTTATCTGTGAAAAGCACAGGGCACCAGTGGTGGATCTGCCAGTTCTGGTGTTCAATGGCAATCAAGCTCTATGGTACTGGGCAGTGAGCACAGGGCCCACTAGAGGATGTCAGGCCATCCTCATAAAGTCTGTTTCTGGTTGTTTGGTCAGAGACATTCACACCAGTGGCCTGCTGGAGGTCATTTTGCAGGGCTCTGGCAGTGCTCATCCTGTTCCTCCTTGCACAAAGGAGCAGATACTGGTCCTGCTGATGGGTTAAAGACCTTCTACGGCCCTGTCCAGCTATCCTAGAGTAACTGCCTTTCTCCTGGAATCTCCTCCATGCTCTCGAGACTATGCTGGAAGACACAGCAAACCTTCTGGCAATGGCACACATTGATGTGCCATCCTGGAGGATTTGGATTGCCTGTGCAAACTCTGTAGGGTCCAGGTATCACCTCATGCTACCAGTAGTGGCAATGATCCCTGCCAAATGCAAAACTAGTGAAAAACAGTCAGAAAAGATGAGTAAGGAAATAAATGTCAGTGTCCTCCACTGTAAAACCATTCCTGTTATGGAAGTCATCTCACCGTTGCCCATCTAGTGCACATGTTAATTTCATTAACACCAAAGCAGCTGAAACTGACTAAGAACCACCTCTGCTACTTAATTGGCCAGATCAATATCCCAGGAGTTTAATAGACTTGGTGCTATACTCTGATTAAAGTGTTGTTTTAATTTTTTTGAGCAGTGTATTTCCTGGATCCTCCCCATGTCAGCCTACCATAGGTCAGCTCCGCCCTCTCTGACCCCTCCAGGACAACTTCTTTCTTAGCCCATAAGAGCAGCTGTCTCTCCTCACTCAGCGTTCTTTTTTCATACTTGCTCTGGACACCTTTAAAAAAAAAATCATCTTTTTCTCTACTATGGCTATCCCAGGTTCAGTCTCTCCTGGGTAAGGCCCCTCGTTTGGTCTGTAAACCTCCCTGTGCAGTGTATTCCCTTGGCGTGAGTATTTTTTATGCATGCAATGTAAATGACTGCACGTTGATTATGCCACCCTACAGCAGGTATTTCCATGGGGCAGTATAAATTACTGCTAGGAAGGCGGGTTTACATACTGTACTTGTGCATAGGTTAGATGGCGCTTATAGTTCCACACCTCAGGGCTTGCTGGCAATTGTAGTCCCATATCTCAGCATGTCTGTGGGCTGGCTGGCACTTGCAGTCCCACATTTCAGCACATCTGGGATCTGCCTGGGGCTAGTAATCCCCACATCATGGCGGTGGCATTTGTTCCAGCTACAGAGCAGGCTAGGTGGTATAGGTGCGGGTGCTGAACCTTCCGGGTTGCCATGGAGCTGCCGGGATGCTGTGTGGCTCAGGAAGCTGCTGCCTTATGGGGAGGCTGTCTCTCTGTCTCATGCTTCAGCTCTGTGTCTGCTGCAGAGGCTGCTGTGTCCACCGTGGGTCCTTCTGATGCTCTGCTCTCTGTAGGTCACCTCAGCTGTTTGCCTGTTTGCCGTGGCTGCATGCACATGTAATATGACTTTGAGATGTGCGTTAGGTTATATCCCCTCTTAGACTGTTACTAAATCTCCAGCTTCAAGCATTGAAGATCTAATGGAGAGGTATTTTTATTTTTATTTGTTATTTAGTTATTTCTTTTCTCTTTTTTCCCTGCTTTCTGGAATTATATTTTTTGTACCTTTTTGGCAGAAAGAACACTCCAGTGTGGAATAAAGCATCAGCATCAGCCAAAAGCTCAGTCCATAGCACTGTCTCCTGTTGTTCAGGACAAGTTACTTCACCAGAACAATCCAGGGTGGATTAAACATCCACCAAGTGGTTGTTCTAGGACACCATTGCCAGTTGCTCATTTTTGCAGAAACGGGATGAGGAAAATCATGTCACCAAAAGGCTCCCAAGAAGAGTAAATCCTCTGGCCAGCACAGGAAAAGATCTTCTATCACTTCCAGAGTCTCTTCTCCAACCCACCCTAAAGTAGGGCTTGTTGGAGATGTTCAGCTGAGGCATTGCCTGGAAAATTGGTGTGCATTTCCTATCTTAGGTAGGGGGCATGTGACAAAGCTGCAGACGCACAGCAGGTAAAATTGTACATTAAAAGATGCAGTAAAAGAAGGCTTACAGAGTGCATCAAAGAAAACATCTCACAGGCAGCATCTTCCTCAGTCTACTTTGGAGGATTCAGGTCCCACAGATACCTCAAAACGTGGGCCCCCAGAGGTTGGAAGCCCTGAATTTTCTGATGTGGACATTGAACTGGAATCTTGTTCATTTCATTTTTCTCTGGTGCCTTCCCTGGTGGAGACAAGAAAGGAAGCCATAAGGTGGCAGGAAGTGTGTTCTCCACCCAAAAGACAGAGAAAGTACTACCCAGATTTAAAAAAAAAAAGACAGTTCCTTCTTGTCCTTTGGAGACAATTGAGGATGAATGGCCAAAAACCTGACAAAAAATTAAATGTTCATAACAGAGTTTCAAAGTTATACCCATTTTGTCAAAGGGATGGCGGATTATGGAATATAGTTCCCAAAGTAGATGCCTCTTTACAGAGATTGGCCCACCACATACTGTAACTCTTCCACTTGAAGATTCATTTTTTTCTTTATGGAAACAAATGGACCGAAATATTGATACTGATCTGAAAAGGATGTCCACTGTGGCGGGAGCATCCTGTAGGCCAGCCTTTGCCTCTATATGGCTCTCAGAGTTTAGGTGGCAGAAATGGACTCCTCTGGTTCAGGATAATTTCAGTTTTTCAGGATGGATGTGGACTTCAGTGCTGAAGCGGCAGTGGATCTAGTCAGGATGATAGTAAAATTAATGGCTCACACAGTAGTGCCAAAAGAGCCTTATGGCTAAAACATTGGTCTGCTGACAATGCCTCTAAACACAGCCTTTGCTTGATTCCATTTGATGGGAAGCTCTTTTTAAGTCAAAACCTTTACAGCTGCCATTCAGCGGGTATCTGGTGGGAGGTCAGGTCTTACCCCGCAGGAGAAGACTTGGCAACGTCAGTCCTTTCGCTCTTTCAGAAGAGTTAAGGATAGTTTCAAATAATCCAGTGCAGTACAGGCCTGGTGGCCCATTTTTCAGATATTGGAAGAAGGTCAGTGTGGCATTTCCCAAGTGAGCCAAGTCTAAATCAAGCCAGCCAGTTAAGTCTTTCTGAAGGTGCCTCCATCCAGCCCTCTCAAGTGGGAGCAAAATTAGCTCTATTCAGGGAGGTCTGGGTAAAAGAAATGTAAGATACTTGGATTCTGGATATCATCCGAAGTGGATATCTGTTAGCATTCGCAGAAAGGCCCCCTCATGGAAACTCAAGTACTGGTGTATCCAGAGAAACTGAATTGTTTGCAGTATATATAAAGGAATTGTTAACAGCTTAAGCCATTTTTCCTGTACCAAAACAAGAATGGGGTGAAGACGTGTATTCCTCTTTGTTTCTGGTAACCAAGTCCTCAGGCGCCTTCAGACCAGTTCTAGGCCTGAAATATCTGAATTCCTTTATGAAGGCCCCAGATTTCAAGATGGATTCCTTGGAGACCATAATTTCAGTAATAAAAGTCAGAGACTGGATGGCCTCAGTGGATTTGGCAGGTGCCAATCTGCATGTCCCCATAGATCTGTCTCATTATCTCTTTCTCAGGATTGCTGTACAAGTGCCACTTTTTCAGTTTGTTCTTTGCCATTCAGGCATTACACCACTCAGAACCTTTACAAAAGTGTTGTTGCCCCATCATAGCTGTTCTGAGACTCAAGGGTCTTCAGATATTTCAATACCTCGATGACATTCTTCTGTTGGCCCCCTCGAGGAGTCTTCTGATGGATCATGTACTGTATCTTAATCTGTAACACGCTCAAATGCTTTGGATGGATAGTCAACTATCAGAGTCAGTTTCAACTAACACAGTTCCTCAATATCTTTCTCCCCCAGAAGAAAGTCCAAGAAATCCAGACTCGGATGAGGGAAGTAATGAGTAGGCCTTGCTTATTGACAAACGAGTGTATGCAGCACCTGGGCCTTCTGTTATCCACAATCCCAATTGTTATTTGGGTCAGATGCTGAAGAAGGAAGTTTCAATTCAGTTTCCTTCACCAGTGGGATTATCACATATTGAACCAGAAGATACTCATACCAGATCTGATAGCCTGTTCATTAACCCGGTGAAAGGTTTTGTGCAATAAAAAAAAACCATGCTGGTGGGTTGGGGGCGTCCATTGCTTGGGTCACCAGGGTGCACGATTTTTGGAAGAGGCAGACTACATAGAGTTCCAATCTGCTAGAGTTAGTAGCTTCCCAACTCACTCTGCTAAGGTTCCAGTATCTGTTATGTGAAAAAAAGTGGTGAAGGAGCTCTCAGATAATCTGGCTACAGTGGCTTACTTGGCCTGTCAAGGGGGCACCAGAAGCTTGCCTCTCCTGAGAATAGCCTTTGGGTGGTAGGGAATGTAGTCTCGCTTCATACCTCCAAGGAACAGAGAACATTATGGTGGACCAGAGTCGGAGTTTTGTAGATTGCAGCGAATGGGGCCACAATTCGAAATTCTTGGGGAAGAAACATGGGTGACACCAGACGTGGATCTGATGGCATCAGCCAAGAACTTCCAGCTTCCCCTCTACTCCTAATTTAGGACCAACAAACCCTGGGCCAAGATGCCCTTTCCAGGCTGTGCATCTGACACTAATGATGGTGCCCCATCATTAGTGTCAGTGGGAGGAATACTACTCCATCAGTGTCAGTGGGAGAAATAGTGCCCCATCGTTGGTGTCAGTGGGAAGAATCGTGCCCCATCATTGGTGTCAGTGGGAGGAATAGTGTCCCATCATTGGTGTCAGTGGGAGGAATAGTGCCCCATCATTGGTGTCAGAGCGAGGAATCGTGCCCCATCATTGGTGTCAGAGCGACGAATCGCGCCCCATCATTGGTGTCAGTGGGAGGAATAGCACCCCATCGTTGGTATCAGTGGGAAGAATAGCGCTCCATCATTGGTGTCAGTGGGAGGAATCGTGCCTCATCATTGGTATCAGTGGCAGGAATAGTGCCCCATCATTGGTATCAGTGGGAGGAATAGTGGCCCATCATTGGTATCAGTGGGGGGAATAGTGCCCCATCTTTGGTGTCAGTGGGAGGAATCGTGCCCCGTCATTGGTGTCGGTGGGAGGAATCATGCCCCGTCATTGGTGTCGGTGGGAGGAATCATGCCCCGTCATTGGTGTCGGTGGGAGGAATAGTGGCCCATCATTGGTATCAGTGGGAGGAATAGTGCCCCATCATTAGTATCAGTGGGGGGAATAGTGCCCCATCTTTGGTGTCAGTGGGAGGAATCGTGCCCCGTCATTGGTGTCAGTGGGAGGAATCGTGCCCCGTCATTGGTATCAGTGGGAGGAATAGTGGCCCATCATTGGTATCAGTGGGAGGAATAGTGCCCCATCATTAGTATCAGTGGGGGGAATAGTGCCCCATCTTTGGTGTCAGTGGGAGGAATTGTGCCCCGTCATTGGTGTCAGTGGGAGGAATAGTGCCCCGTCATTGGTGTCAGTGGGAGGAATAGTGCCCCATCATTGGTGTCAGTGGGAGAAATAGTGTCCCAACATTGGTGTCAGTGGGAGTAATAGTTCCCCATCATTGGTGTCAGTGGGGGGGGAAGGAATAGTGTTCCCTCATTGGTGTCAGTGGGGGGTGGAATAGTGCCCCATCGTTGGTGTCAGTGGGGGGGGGGGGGGGAGGAATAGTGCCCCATCGTTAGTGTCAGTGGGGAGGAGGAATAGTGCCCCATCGTTGGTGTCAGTGGGGGGGAGAAATAGTGCCCCATCGTTGGTGTCAATGGGGGGAGGAATAGTGCCCCATCGTTGGTGTCAGTGGGAGGAATAATGCCCCATCATTAGTATCAGTGACACCAATGATGGGGCACTATTCCTCCCACTGACACCAATGACACTTGCTGACCCCTGTTCCAGTATGGTGCTGCTGCAGCCAGCATATGTGGTTGCAGCAGCACCTCTGCACGGCACACTTACCTGCCGCTCCCTCACTCGATTTTCGCGAGGCCGCTCCGCTCTGCTTCCTCGCTGGTGATTGGCCGCCTGTGTGCCTTTCCTGAGCTACAGTTCTGGCGGCCAATCACCGGTGTGGAGGCGGAGCCGAGCAGCCGCGCGAACATCGAGCGGCCAAACTGAATGAAGGAGCAGCCGCGCTTCCTGGACTGGATCGTCGTGGGACTGGGACAGGTAAGAAACAGCAGCCCCCTGCCCACCCCTGTACTTAGTGTCCCTTCTGTTGGAAGGGGGGGGCGGCGGCGACACTGCGCCACCCCCCTAAAAAGTGCCGCCCTGACACCAAGTGTCAGCATGCCGTATACTGGCGTATAAGACGACCCCTGACTTTTGAGAAGATTTTCAAGTGTGAAAAAGGCGTCTTATACGCCGGAAAATATGGTATTTAAAAAAATAAGTCCACCTCTACGAGCTCACATGTGTTCAATGAATTCCATTCCTTAAATAGAATGTACAATGAATGATACCATTCTTAATACATGTGCAAGTTTTTCCCTTATACATGTCTAGTAACAGTGGCAGCATTAGAAAAAGTATATAGTTAATGTAACACCCTCTAAGTAAGCTATACAGGCTTTATTGTTTTTCTTTAGACAGAAGCTGGGTAGCAGCCTGGTATGAGTTAGCCTGGGAGTGAGGTAGTGAGTTCACCTCAGGATAGGCTGGGAAGCTCTGCAGACCAGGGCTTCTGTAGCCCTCCCACCCTTCCAGAAACTTAGAGAACTTTGTGGAAGAGGTTTGGAGGGGGGGAGGAGGCCAAGATCTGCATGTTTATGGGACCTTGGCCAACCCCCAGGCAGGGGTTTCCTTTCCCTGTCCTAACATGGCCATCTTTTTCTACAACAGTTTACTCTCATCCGAACTGGACACACTTGATACTATTTGACCACCCACTCCTTCTCAATAAACTCCACTGCCTTGGTCTCCGAGATCTAGCTCTATCCTGGTTCCTCTCCTACCTGTCACAGCACTTCTTCAGTGTAACCTATAACTCTTGTCTCCTCCTCTCCACTACCTCTTTCTGTAGAGTGCTCCAAGGCTCTGTTCTTGGACTCCTTCTCTTCTCTTTCTACACCTCCTCTCTTGGTCACCTCCAATGGCTTCACATACCACCTCTATGCCAATGACACCCAAATCTATCTCTCTACTCCTCACCTCATTCCTTCTATCTCCTCTCGCATTACTAACTGACCTATCAGCATGGATGTTGTACCACTTCCTTAAGCTAAATCTCTCTAAAACTGAGCTGATAATATTCCCTCCCCTTTGTGTACTCCTAAATGACTTTCCATCAAGATCAATATTACAACTATCAGTCTCTCCTCTCAAGCCAGGGTACTAGGTGTAATTCTAAACTGTGACCTATCCTTTTGGCCCCAAATCCAATCACTGTCAAAGGCTTGTAGACTTCACCTCCATAACATCTCTAAAATGTGCCCCTTCCCAGCCAATTAAATTAAAAATACTAACAACATACAAAGCCATCCACAACTCTGCCCCCAGCTACATCACCAATCTTGTCTCCAAGTATCACCCAAACCGTCCCCTCCGATGCTCTCATGTACTCCTGCTCTCAACTTCCCCGGTCTCCTCCTCCCATGTTCCTCTCCAGGACTTTGCCAGAGCCTCTCCAATCCTCTGGAACTCTCTACCTGAATCTGTCTGGCTATCCCCTACTCTGGCTGCCTTTAGGTGATCCCTGAAAGCTCATCTCTTCAGGGAAGTCTATTATGCCTCTGAACAGACATTTATCACTTCCATCTGCTCATCCCCCACAGTTATAAACTTTTGTACTACTTGCCCCACCCTATTAGATTGTAAATACTTATGAGTAGGGCCCTCTTAATCCTCTTGTTTTGATTGTATTGTAGCTGTACTGTCTCCCTTTATATTGTAAAGCGCTGTGTAAACTGTTGGCGCTATATAAGTCCTGAATAATAATATTAATCACATGCACCTAGTTAGCATTACTAACCCAGTCCCCTCACCTAAAGGTGGAGATAGTGGTCAGAACCCTAAAACACAATGTTATATAAGAACACATAGGGCTTACTAAAACTGGTGCACACAGAATCTGGTGCAATCTGTGTATAGTAACCTATCAGCGTCTAGGTTTTATTGTCAAAGCTTAATTGATCTAACTAAAGTTAGAAGCTGATTGGTTACTATGCACAGCTGTACCATATTCTCTGTGTGTACCGGTTTTATTAAATCCCCCCCATAGTGTGCAGTAGACATTCAACTTTGAAGAAGAAGGGGTACTCTCTAAACTTGTTAACATTTGCAGGCCCTTGTGGCATCTTCCCAGTACATCTGGAGGCATGCACAGGGGTTCTGATCATTTCTTCCTTTTATATTTGTGATGAGCCATTAATAATGTCTGTTTGTGAGTATAATTATCTACTTTTATCTTTTGAATAAATGGTGTCATGATTAAAACACTAGGATGGTCTTTTGTCTTTTTGTATAAACAACATGTGGTTGAAATGAAGCAACATGTTGGACAACCAAAGGCAGTAAAAAAATGGCATGGGCAGCATTAGGACCAGGATCACCAGGCAAGAGATAGGGGTGGAAATATCCTGGGTGCTGGGTGCTAGCAACAGCCCTGGTATAGACACTTCTGTAAAAGACAGGATGCTGCACACAAAATCTTGCATTTAGCCTGGCAGCAGGATCAGAGGTAATAAATATCACTGCAAGGAATTTGGAGCGTGAATCAAATGTTATCATAATAAACATTATTTTCAAAGAGTGATTTTAATAAACATAACTGCCATTCAAGGACATCTAAAAGCCCATGGAAGATAAGTTACAATGTTTATACACTGACTATGCTGTACTGTGGAGATTTAATTAAAATGACTTGTGCGTACCAATCATAACTAGAAGTCTGGAGCAGGAATGCCTCTTTGCACGTGTCTGATGTATATGGTCAAATGGAGAGAAATCAGACAAAGCACAAATCCTGCTAATGAATCTCCTAGAGGACAAATGAGGGAAAAGGAAAATACTTTTCTAATCATAATTAACCAGAAACAGAATAGTTTTTTTCCCATTAATTGCTGGTCAGATTGACTTTTCAGTTTCTTGTAAATGTAGTTTAATGCTAATCATTAATTTTTGCGATGGCATTAATTGCATGAGAATTTGTTCTTCACATCGTTGTTTCATGGATCTACTGTATTTTGAAGTGTACATTTCTTAATCATTAGCACATTTACAAAGCAGTAAAATGAATTCTAAGCATTGGAATGCAAAAAATTAATAATTTTTTTTTCATCATGTGTATTTTTTTTACTATAAAAATAGTAGAACCAACCTAGTGCTCTGTCTAAAACGTTAGTAGTGCTTCTACACTTGGCAATCATACATGGGGGGTTATTTACTAAAACTGGAGAGTGTCCAAGCTTAACTGAACAAACAGAAGTTAGAAGCTGATTGGCTACCATGCACAGCTGCACCAGATTCTCCAGTGCTCCAGTTTTAGTAAATCTTCCAGAATCTCCCAGAACTTTGCACACTTAAACTATGTCAGCTTTCTGCAACTGTCACTCCTGTATGAAGTACATCCTGCTGTTGTACAACTTATAGCCTTTTCCAATTTCAAAGGGATAAAACACGTTAATTCCAATATGTTCAGATATGCCTAGCAATTTTGCAAATATAACCTATAAATGATGTTTTATTTGCTGCAATGCACTCATGCAATCGTAGCCCAAACCATTTACAAGTAGAAGTAGACAGAAAATGCCATAGAGCAATGGTGTATTATCCAGTGTGCAAGTGTGTGTGGGGTACACTGGACCCGAGGAACGGGAAGGGGGCATTGTGCCTTGTCACACACTGCACACAAGGAGTAACCCGTTACCCAACCAATCCTCTGCAGCACGTCAATTCACCCTCCCAACAATGACCTCCTATTGCTCCCTTGCAGATGCCAGCTTCTCCTCCTCTCCAGCAGCTTTGAGTGCTGCAGGGGAGCCACAAGGGAATTCAACTGTCCAGGTAGATTCCTCACCCCTGCTCTGAAAAAAAACCCCCATACTAGACTGGCATCCCACTCACTGATCCCCTGGTGG